ATATATTTCTTTGTTATAATATTGTATTATCTTATACCACCTAGACATCTTGGTCGACTGAGTTAATTGTCTTGAGCTTTCTTATTCACACTGCTCTGTCCCAGAGTTCAAGTACTGACCAGAAAGGTATTAGAATTCAACATTTTTTACATTGACTCTGCAGTGACTGATGGTATTATTTTATTAATGATTTAGCGGTGAACTTTGCATTGTGCTGACACCAGAGATGGAGAAGCTAAGCTGTGAATTAAGCTCCAAATCCCTTCGATTCCCCCCTGGCTGGCAGTCCGTGCATCACCATTACTTATTCACTAGAAATAAGAAAAAGGACTTCCAGTGTGGTACTGGCCATCTACATGCACTGTATCCTCCAAGTCCTGCCTACCTGTTATAATCCCACATAATGGAAAAGTGGAATGTCACCTTGTGTGAGAGACAGCTGATATCTCTCAGCAAGGGAAAAAAAAGCCATTTAGCACAAGTGCAGATCACATTTAATTAGACGAGAGGATTTAAATTGCCATGCATCAAACACTGCAGATGACCAAAACGGATACAACTTGGGCCGTGGGCCAGATTCCTTGAGCTCTTCCATAACCCATCAAAATCCCTTGAGCTACGGGGTTCAATAAGTCAGAACACAGCCGCCTTAATTAACAATGACCAAAGCATGGAGGTGCCAGGAATTTTAATGACTGTCATCAGCCTCAGACCAGTTTTACAAATTTGCAGTTTTGTTAAAAAAAAAAAAAAAACAAGTTTAATTATTTGTCTCTCCTGCTCGGTTTTAAATTGGCAATGTCTCCTGGAACATGTGATCAGAGGATGACAGAGTGGTTAGTTATTATAAGTTTACATAAAATACAAGTAACGAGAAGTCTTGGATAAAAATAAGTTTGACAACATCAACTGTGTCCATTAATGACTGCCGTCATGGTATGGCGCTGCTGTAATTTCGTGATGCATGTTAACCTGTCAAAGCTGCAACTGTTTCCTACGTTTAGCTGTCACCTATTGTTAAGGAGTGATTTCACTTTCATTATGCTTTTGCGGAGACATCAATAATAGCCACACAGCTGTCACAACCCATTTAGACACATCTAGGTGAGGTTGGGGAGCAAATATTCACGGACGTATCAGTTTTCTGAAAATTGCTCGGTGAGATGGATTGGAATGACACAAAGATGAACTCTCCTTTGATTTCACTCCGAGAAGGGAGCTGCCATATTGGCTTGTGGTAAAATATTACCTTTATATTTTCCACTGTATGCCTACACACACACACACACACGTAGTATACATGTTAAACTGTATGGTACATATGACTTATAGTTATGCCTTTGTTATATCGGCAGAAGGCATGTAAAAAATATTGAAATTATGGGCATATTATTTATTGATCTTCATGAATAATATTTTGAATTTAATAACAAAATATGACATAATAAGCACAGTTAAAAGTTAGAAATAACTTTGGTTGATGACTGAATACATAATTATAAATAAATGTATAAATAATTAAATTAAAATCTATATTGTTCTGTGCATTGTTCATTTGTATGTTAAATTACACATATTTGCTGTGCAATTATATGTTTATTTGTTTTTCATTTCAGGCCATCTGTTGATTCTGAAACAGTTATCTGGTTTATTGTTGGCTTGCTAAACTGTTTGCTTATAGCTAACGATTAGCTCTGGTTGCCAAACTGAAAGTGACACTAAAGGCTTTAAATGGTATCATAGATTGTCTGGCAATTCTTCTAGCAAGGGATATTTCACTAATGGACATGGTATAATTCTGACTTGTACTGTGGACTTCAGAAATAATAACTTTATTATAAAAAAGTCAGTGATGAACCTGAGATATTTTCTCTCTTATCCTTTAGCACCTGAACAAGGTTGTTGGAGGGTGAACTGCGGAAAGGTGTTTCATACACTCTAGGACGGTTTTAGCCCATTAACAGGTGACATACAGTGGCAGACAATTGACGCCGTTGATCTTTTTATAGTCTGAATTTAACCTAATGCTCAGTCTGCATATAAAGTAGTTGCCAGTTCATAACCAGCAACCATTTACACTTACATTCACATCTTTTTATTCAAGTCAGAGTGACCAAATCACATAATCCTCACACTTCATATTAAGCTGGGACACAAACCAATGGCCTGCCTGCTGTGATTCAACATATGCCAACAACCACTCTACAAAGGGGACACTATTACGCAGTAATATTACTTACAATAGTAAACAATGAATTACTGCTTATTTAACAATCTAATATTTTTTCCCACCTGTAGTTTCCCTTGTTTCCCTTTTTTCCACTTAAACTATTCATTATTTAGTAACAGTGGCTTATTCAGCTTTGCTGTAGTCCTTAAAATGTGACGATTTTTTAATTATCAACTGTAACATCACCTTACCTAATCTCCATATCACACAATTCCACATTTAGCTCTTTTCATGGCTTCACGTTTTTTGCAAACCTGTTATGTGCTTCACCAAACCACTGACGGACTCTAAATATAATACATAGGTGATCCTGCATTAACAGTCTGATATGCATTAACATCACCAATGGTAATCAATCTCCTAAGGGGACCACTTGCTAAAATTAAGCCAGCTGATCAGGCTACATTGTTAGTGCAACTCTGTTTCTTCATTAGTGATGCAGTACTATATAAAGTGTCCAAACTGAGCTAGCACGCACCAACATTATAGCCTTGATAGCCCCCGGCAGTCCTTGCATAATGAGAATGAGTGTGTGTTTGATGGTCTCATGATTGCTGCATATTGCTTTGCACACACAGGGACTCTGTGTAAGCCTGATGTATGCTTATATATACACTACTTAAATTAATATTCAAAGGTATGTCGCTTTCTTTGTCTTACCTAAGTGGGGGGTAGAGGGCGGGGGAGCAGCGTAGATGAAGGCGGTGCTCATGGATTTCACCAGATCAAATCCCAGATGAAGCAATATCATTACGATGAGCGACTATCGCAGCACACATCCAGGTGTCCCTGGGAACACTGGTATTGACCATCACATGGAGAACAAGCTTCCCTGTGGGGCCCAGATGAGTAAGGAGCTGTCAGACTAGGCTCCCTAAGCGTTAATAGACCCCCTGCTCGAAACCATCTCCGCCACTGCATCCAGCTTCCAGCTGAGTTTTCTAAAGCCCTTCCTGTACAGCCGTGTGTCTATATTCACCTTCATCTCTGATCTGTAGGCTGTAGTTGCACCTGCGCAAGGTTTCTGCCCATGAGAATTATTGTTAGTGCAGCTAGCGCTGAGGTCTGCAACCTTTACTTAAAGTGTGGCCCCTGCCTATATAAAACTCGCATTTATGCATAATTAGTCCATACTTATTGTATGTAAAAGCCTATCTCACCATTTGTAGAATTTGTGAAAAAAATAAAGCAAGATAAAGAAAACTTCTTAATTCCTACTTTTTCTATTCCACAAAAGAAAAATCACAAAGGTCTTGAATGAACTGGAAGAGAGAAAAAAAACACTGAGTTGTGCTGGGTTAGAGTGAAATAAAATACAACACATCACTAACCTATTTGAGTCGTAGTTGCACCTGGTAGGCAGCCCCTGCATAGTCTCTTAAGAATACAAGAGGTGAATGTAGGTCACACCTAGTTTTTCTTTTATAAGAAAAAGAAAAAGAAATACAAATCCCATTTATCACAAAGTCGCTGTAGCTTCCAACAATGCAGTACATTCTGAAATCTGCTAGGAAATTGCTAGGTTCCTTTTTGTTATAAACATACAGACGAAAACAAGATTTTAGAATTTTCCGATGTTGACATCTGCAACACTTTCCTGAAGGGTCAGAACAAAAACACATGGGGAAAACAAATTACACAATTCTTGGAATTTTCTCAATTTGCAAGTTAAGTGGTAATAGACAGGGTTATAGAAAGAACATTCACCAAAGACTGTTGGAGTCTTGTGCTTCCTTCAAGGGGGTTCTTTGTCAATTACTCACAAAGATACCAAAAAAAACTTCTATGTCTTTTATGGTCTAAATCTTACTGATAGGGTGCAAAGATACAGGTAGTAGTACAGGTACAGAAAGAAAGAATGATCCTTAGATATGAATCACATTTTAAACGTTAAGGTTAACTCTGTTCTTGGTCTAACATTGGTGCAGTATAATAATTGTTATAGTTAAGGCTATCAAAGTATCTGCTTAAGCGATGTACAGAAAAAAGTTTGAAAATCTGATTTATCTTTGTTAATCAGGATTAACTTGGATTAGTTATGATCATGGATCATGATTGCCCTACAACTACCGAAGCTGGCATTACACTATTTGAG